TATAATATGTCATACAGCTATATGGTCAACATTATGATATGGTCACAGCATGACAACACACATTCACACACTTAGTAAATTATGTCACACATAATGTCACACGCATGTCATAGGATGTCACACATACACAGCACGATTCACAGCCTTATGAACTATCAAACACACACTCTCGACAAATTTACAACTTGTAGATCCGGAGCCGTGTGCTGGCCACAGTTTCTGCGCGACAGAACAACTGATTCAGGGGCACAACTCTAAGCTATTGCTAGTTTGGAAACCTAATCCTAATCCTAAGCCTTAGCATCCCGAGATTTAAAACCCGGATTTGCTCCCCACACTTAGCCCGACCAGGCTGCTGCCGCGGATTGGTCTATACGGTATTCTACGACCGGCTATAGGGTCTATGTCCCCCAGGGTACTGCCGGAACGTACCCTGGGTACGGTCCGGTATACCGGAACGTACCCTGGTAACTATTTGATATGGTTAGGGTTAGGATTAGGGTTTGGGTTAGGGTTAGAGTTAGGGTTAGGGTTAGGGTTAGAGAGTAGGCTTAGGCAACTCCCTAGACTCGTTAGTGGAGTAGGCGAGGTACGGTCTGGCATATTAGATAGTACCAGGGTACGTTTCGGTATACCGGACCGTACCCAGGGTACGTTCCGGCAGTACCCGGGGGGACATAGACCCTCTCAGCCACAGTGATACTGATAGCTGTAAATTTACAGTCTTGTTGTCAGGTCAATTGATCAGGTGATGAGATTGATTGTTCGATGTACTTGAACACATGAACAAACATTGAGAAATACAAATATAAACCAATTTTTGCGTGTGCAGCGTTAAGGGTAAAAATTATTATAAAATGACAAATGTAAGAGTTCATGTAAGTTATTGTTGTGGAAATTGGAATCAGTGCACAAATCCATATATCCTTTTATGGTTACATTTAGGGCATTTTTAGGCACTGCCTGTCTGAATCTGGTTTCTGTTTTAAATTTAAAAGTTCAAAGTGTCTGCATGGTTATATGACCAAAGGGATATGACCGGCCCTTGCTGTTTATGAAGGGTCGTATATTTGTATGTAGTGTTATGTAATCGTTGAGCACAAGTTAAAGCTTGAGTGAAGGCTATACACAGCAGTTTACAGGAGCTGTATGATAACACATCAGAAACTCAATGGACCTTGCCATAATTTATGGTAGAAGATTAGAAAGTGCAATGACACGTGGTTGTAACCTTTTTTTTCCGTGTAGAATTCTTATTCAAATAAGGTGATTAATTAATGAAAGTACGTTTCACGTCCCGAAGATCCCATAATATTATTAGAGGTGTATCGATACAGTAGGGTCATGATATGATACCTATCGCATTACACAGACAGGAAGAGAAATATTGTAAATTGCATGCTATGATAAATTTGAAATTTATCATGTTTTTTATTATTAATGTTTATTTGTAAATTTATAATTAAAGGGATACCCTTTGAGAATTTTATATTAGATTATGATAGTGAGTGCATAAATAATAGTATATGCCTACAAATTTCTATTAGTACGCATTTAAATTTGTCATAAAACAACATGGAGTTCAAAATCTTTTGAATTCTTTCAAATTCTAACTTAAAGTTCACATGAATGGTTGAATTCTAATGTTTTTTACTGTTATAAAAATATGTATTCCAATTCTTTCATAACAAAAACGTGTTATGAGTATGTCAAAGCCATACAGATATATATAGTAAACAATCAGTTACTATAGATATATATTTCTGTGGCTGAAACACACTGAGATGTCCTGAGTGTGTTCTAGACTGATAGTCCAGTTGTGAAAAGCTTTTTTTTGGGTGAACGTGGTTTCTGCGTCCCCAATGGCGATATGAGGATAGCAACAACTTAGTCGGATCTAAAGAAAAAGCTACAAGTGGGTATCTCGTCTCGCGTGGTTGACAAGGTGGATGCGACAGTTATTGACGGGTGTGCACTCCTGTGGTCTGTGCATTGGCCAGAGAAAGGTACAGCCAAGGATTATGTAGACAATTTCTTTGGATATGTCATGAGAAAAGCTGCTCACTCGGATGTTTACCTAACTTTTGACAGATACTACGACTATTCAATTAAGAGCGTGGCACGTGGAGCTAGGGCTGGCAAGCATGCAACCCGTCGGCATCATCTAAATCTATCGAGCCCCTTGCCACCCCAAAAGGTTGTGCTCACTGTCAACGAATACAAGATACAGCTGATAGATATAATATGAGATTATCTGGTAGAGAAGTGTTTAGCCAGTGGAGAACCAGTTCGACACAAGCTTGTTGTATCTGGCCGTGAACCGATTCCAATCGAACTGTTCTGTGGACATCAGAGTAATCGTGCTGACCTACGGACAACCCACGAGGAAGCTGACGTTACAATGGTACACCAGATACTGCACGTTGCCCACAACCAGGAAGGCGTGCACGGCATCAAAGTCATTTGCGATGATACTGATGTCTTCGTTCTGTTAATGCATTTTTGCAACCAACAGAATGTGAAATGTTCCCTGATAATGGAAGCCACCAGCTCCGAGAGGGTCTCAGTTGATATACAGGCCTCAGTGAAAAAGAGTAAAGACATTGTGCCACATCTTGTGGCTGTTCATGGACTTACTGGCTGTGAGTCGTGACTCGGTTGCCAAGCTGCATGGAATTGGAAAAGGCACCGTCATCAACAAGCTGAAAGAAGGGCTCACATTTCAACATTTGGGGGATCTTCACTCATCATTGAATGATGTTATTGCTGAAGCCACAAAGTTCATCGGCGCTTGCTATGGCAGCAAAGAAAGAAGTCTCAAATTCGAGTTGATCTCTGGTCAAGGAAAATGGGGAAGAAAAACATCACTGCTGCCCCACATCTGAAATCGATACCACCAACGAGTGAGGCGTTCAGGGAAAATGTCTTACGAGCACATGTTCAAATTGCAGTATGGAAGTCTGCCCCTGAGCCAGATCCCCCATTCTTTGACGCTACCGACTATGGATGGTCTCGCGATGAATCCACTAAAACTCTCCCGCCAGATGTGGCTCTTGCGCCACCTGAGGTGTTAGAGTTGCTTCGATGTGGATGTTCAACCGATGAACCATGTAGTACTCAGAGGTGTGGTTGTCATACAGGACACTTGCCGCGTACTTTCTTTTGTGCCTGTCATGCAGAATCACACTGTCAAATCCCTACAAAAAGGACATAGAAGGTGGGGCAGATGACGAAAATGAAGAGGTTTCTTATGATGAAATAGAAATTGACTTGCTGATGGAGTGAATACAGGGAGTTTGTTGCAGATAGACAGATTAGTAGCAGCTGTATGCGAGAGAATGGTGTGAATTGCAGCAAGAATCCTTGATGACTTATCCCGGCATAAACTTCCAAGATGGGTCCATATTGCATCATACCTTTTGCATGGAATATCATTCATAATACCGGTGTACAAGGTTATTGGGTGATATGATCCCTAATTAGCATAATTATGCATATGCAAATGGCCAAATCAGTTTTGATTGGTCTAATCAGAATCAGATACCCTAAAAACCTTGAAGTAGACACCACATTTGCTTTGTCATCCTATATAATAAGCGTGTTGCGGGCCAAAAATGAAATTTTGGTAATGGCCGCCCTAATTTACATATTATGGATATGCAAATAAGCAAATCATTTTGTCTTTGGCCTAATCTAAATCAGAGACCCTGAAAACCTAGGGGTAGACACCAAAATCATACGTTTATCTTTTCAAATAAGCGAGTTATGGCCAAATAATGAAATTTCAGTAATGGCCGCCTTGATTTGCATATTACGCAAAATGCCCAAGGGTACCAGACCGGCATCATCCGGATTCTCAATCAGCACCCCTCAAAGGTATAAAATCAGCAAAAAACTGTGGGGACGCTAAAACCACGTTGGGTGTTCTACAGCTGGACTATGACCTGTAATTGACAGCTCCGCTCACATGCGCGCTATACGCAGTGCTACAGTACGTGCGCAGTAACGACACGCACCAGTCAATCAGCACTCTTGATGGGTTTTGTGGTAACAATCTTGGCAGCAATTAATACAAGCGCTCCACATATATTTACCCAGATTTCTATGACAGCCGAGAATATTTACGTGATACCGAGAGGGAGTTCTTAAATAAAAGATAGAATTCAATTTAAAAGGAATTGCATGTGCTTTTAAAAAAATAGTTTTGCTTGCTGTATTGACTATTTAACATCCGTATCGTTTGTATCGCAATACGGATGCTTCGTATCGATTATCGTATCATGGGCTGCTGTATCGCGATTCACCGATGTATCGGTGAATCGTTAAAACCCCTAGGTAATAAAATATGATATATTTACATTGTAACCTCAGCCATCTATGTTATATTTTTGGTTTGCAGAGCATTTTGCATTGAATCAACAGTTCGCAGCCGATCTTGGACCGACCGTGCCAAACGAAAAGCAAATAGGCGGCCAGTGAAGAGGTCGGGAAACATGCGAATGTGGGCAAGTCAATATAAAGAAAACGCAGTTGCTACTGGAGAGATGTTTTAGAAAAGGTTAAAAGAATAAAGGAAGGTGTAGGCAATCTCGGTTTAATAGGGAAAGCATAGGATAATTATAGAAACTATCAAAAAAATAATAGAGAATGCCAAGATAACAGAAAGAGGTTAAGTAATAAGTGTTGTATAACATTGTAGTGTATTAAGACTTAATTTATCATCAAAAATAGGGGGAAATTATCTTGTAACATATACACACAGCAACTGCCATCTCTGAAAGCCAAAAAAAGACGTGGTGGTGTTTTTGTAACTACAGATACTGGCATGTAGCGCAATAATGGTAGTGAATGTTGTTTAGGAACAGTGAATAGTAAAAACACATTGTTAATGCGTCTTCTTTGTACAGACCTGCGAGCAAAGTACAAGAACTTTGATGATATCAGCACACAACTTTAAGCGAGAGAGGAGCATTGAAGAAGCAGCAAGGATAATGTGTGCATGTGCGTACGAACGCGCGTACGAATGTGCTGTGGCGATGCATTGCTGCGTGCAGGGTGGTGCATGCGTGCGTGCGTGTTTGCGTGTGTGAACATATATATGCAAATACAATTGGGGCTGTGTGCACGGTAAATTTGTACTTGTTATAGCTGTCATGTGTGGATGGAATGTGACCACAGTGCTGCGCTGTGTTTATGTTTGATATTCAATGTTACCACGTTCGTTCGTTAGATGCCTGAAGTGTGCAGATGCCCCCTGCCAGAAGAGTTGCCCAACCCAGCTGGATATAAAGATGTTCATACAACAGATTACCAACAAGGTAAATCTACCCCAACAAGGTAAATCTACCCCACAGGTAATTACGTCCAACAAGGTAAATCTGACCAACAAGGGATCTAAACCAAAAAGGTGAGTGAACATTGATATTCAGACGTATCAGCGTCGTGCGCGCGGGTGGTCGCTCGCGCACATGCCTACTATTTCGTAACCTCCTTGACATAATTATCTGACCTTGACACGCTACTTATCCGTTACCCCATCTTGGACATAATTATTCTGACTTTGACAAGCTATTATCCGTACCATGCTTGACATTACATCGTCTGACTTGACACCTACTTATCCCGTACCTCCTTGCTAATCGTCTGACATTTACACCGCTATTATCGTCCTCCTTGAATACATTATCTGACCTTGACAGCTACTTATCCGTACCCTCCTGACTTGACATCGTCTGACTTGACACCGTACTTATCGTTACCCTCCTTTGCATTACAATCGCCGATCTTCTCAGAACTATTATCCGTTACCCTCCTTGACATACATCGTCTGACTTCTCAGAAAACTTACTATTGGGTCGCAGAAGACGATCTTCTCGGACAACACGCACGGGTCTCACCTGCGGAATGGTGTGTCCTACAAAGTGACCTTGCGTCGGAGGCTGAATGTATTTGCATCGAGAAGGGCAATCAATCGGGGCCTGCAGCATTTGTACCGAGCGTGAGTTCCGTTCACTATACATGCCTTGTTATCTGAGGCTGGTAGGATTCAGCGGTTACCTCATCACTGATCTCCTCGTGCTAGTGATGGATAGTAGAGACATTAGGGTGGTTCAGATTCAGAGCTGGAGTTGGTTCGTTAGCCCTAACTGTTTCCCTATTCGGTTAATTCTATTTGTCAATGATACTTAACCCACGTTTCGACTCGAATGTGCCGGTCCAACAGTTAATAAGTCAATTGATTCTTTTTAACCACACCCTGAACCAACTGCGCCGTTGTTTTTAGCTCAGCTGACGATGTCAGATTAGATTGTAGAATAGCTATTGAATGTCCGTCAGTGCATCCGTGCAGTGCGTGGCTGAGTAAGCGTGGCGTCGTCAACAGTCTTATGGCAATCTTTAAGTGATCGTAATGGTTTGGTATTCGGGACGTTGGGGGATCGCGAAAAGGATCGCATGGCGAATTTGGGGGCCAAATGCAAGAGGTGTCAATTTGAGAGGAAATTTTCCCCTTAACTTAAGGACATTCACCAGCTGCGGAATTGGATGGTACAGGGTCAAGGGCAGTGGGGAGGTCAGATATCAGACTTTTCTGCGGACATGGGTCTAAGCTGACCGGGTGCAAAAACTTTGTTTCGCGCTGACTACCATTTTTATCACTTTATTTGAAGGAATATGAATGTTCTTCGAACTGGCATGCGAAAGAGTAAGTGTCTTGATAACACTTTTTACCTCAAGAGGATGGTTTACTATGGATTTTGTTGCTGTTAACAAATGACTGAACTGTTTTGCTGTGGGAGACCTCATGCACTCCCCCACCAACCATACACTCGCGCTCGACGCATATTCTTGATAACATGGTAGTATAGCGAGTCATTAAAGTTACAAGATTACTAAGATACTGCATAAGCCTATATAGATTTTAGATCTGTTTAGTAGTATCTTAGATATATGCTCTGAGGCGACGCGGTGCGTTTGAGGGGCATTGATTCTGTTGGCCAATGAGTTTATCAGAGAATACGCGGCTACAGTACACGTCAGATTGAAGCCTGTTTCGCTCTGCGGCACTTGTTAGCAGAATCGCGTGTAACTTTTAGCGATGATCTATGGTTTATTAGGGTGAGTTGGGTAGGCAGAAGTAAGCGCGGACGGCTAGAGCAAGCAGCATAACTGGACCATTATGCAGCGAAAGGGAACCATTATGGCAGTATGGGTAGCAAACTGACCATTATGGCAGTATGGGCAGCAAACTGACCATTATGGCAGTATGGGCAGCAAACTGATTATGGCAGGTGATGGGCAGGCAAACTGCTGCTGAATATCTTGGGTTTGTATCCACGCACTTTTTATACTCAGATGTGCAAAAGATGCTGCCTACTACCTTAGATTCTATCTCGCTCGCTTTAATTCAACCAATGATGTTTCAGGGGCGATGAAGGTGCCACAGATTAGCGAATCCCGAATTGCCGCGGATCTCCGAGAGAGCTACTTCGGCAAGAGTGTGCCTTATCGGTGCGGGACAGCCGCATCAGCTGTGCGACATTCTCGCTCGTCGGCTACAAGATTGGACGTGTACGAGAACAGAGTACGTTGGGCGGGGTCTCAGGTCGTGGTTACCGGTTTCAGGTAGCTGTTGTTAGGTCTCAGTACGTTGTTACGGTCTAGGTACGTTGTTCGGTTCTGGGTTACGTTAATTGTTAAGGTCTCAGGTAGTTGTTACGGGTCTCGGGTACGTGGGCGGTCTCAGGTACGTTGTTACGGTTTCAGGTATGTTGTTACGGTCTCGGGTACGTTGTTAAGGGCTCAAATACGTTGTTACGGTCTCAGGTACGTTGTTACGGTCTCAGGTACGTTGTTACGGTCTCACGTGCAGGTATGAGACCGTAACAACGTACCTGAGACCGTAACAACGTACCTGAGACCGTAACAACGTACCTGAGACCGTAACAACGTACCAGGTACGTTGTTACGGTCTCAGGTACGTTGTTACGGTCTCAGGTACGTTGTTACGGTCTCAGGTACGTTGTTACGGTCTCAGGTACGTTGTTACGGTCTCAGGTATGTTGTTACGGTCTCAGGTACGTTGTTACGGTCTCAGGTACGTTGTTACATCGAGAGGTGTCGAATCGGATCACCAAGCGTGATTGATATGCAGCTATAGCCAATCAGCGTCTCCACAGGATGTTCTAAAGTTGATGCTTAGTAATGAAGTGCTGAAAAGTAGACGTTTTAGTGTGCGTGCGTGTAGAGAGGTTGAATTGGCCAGCCAGTGAGATTGATAGGCAGTTCTAGCCAATCAGCGTCTCCACAGGATGTTCTAAACTCTATGTTTATAGTAACAAAGTGCCGAAAAGTCGACGTTTAGGTGTGCGTGCGTGTAGAGAGGTTGAAGTGATCTAGCAATGCTATTTAAAGAGGGCATGGCTATGGCTATGTGACTCTTGCATGTAGATCAGGTGCAGGGCAGTCTTTTCGAATAAGTGCATGGGTGTCTTAGCGTACACAGTTGTGAAGTGAAATTGGATGTTCGGCAACCTAACTTATGACTTTTACTATTCTAGTTTCTGTAACACGGCATTAAGTAAAGTGAATGTAATTCTATCGAGATTCATTATTGGCCAAATTAGATAATTAAAAAACTAAATGCCTTTACACGATCTTGCTTTGTAATAAAACTGACATCGAATACAATGTGTCCTTCAGCTCTTCAGAGATTCCATCATACAGACTTCCGTATGATGTGGTGGAGTTTGAGGTGGACATGATGAGAGACCTAGGAGTCAAGGTAAAACAAGAAACTTCACAGAACTAACACAAGGTTACGTAGAGTAAAGACGAATTCAGGGTGGGTGCCCTGCACCGGAATGTCCGTGAGACGAGGTTGAAACCATTATAAACTATTTCTTCAGCAAAATATGAAAACCAGATGATGGATTAGTAACGCACGAAGGGTCGTTGTCGTATCAGGTACTAAATATATGTACCCGAGGTAGTTTTATGTTGTTTAGTATTATGTTTATATTTTTATATGAGGTATGTTTAGGGTTAGGGTTAGGGTACACTTCTGTAGTACAAGTCTGGTACACTTCGTGAGTACATATATGTACCTCGGGGTCCTCGGGTACATATATGTAGTACCTGATACGACAACGACTCCTTCAGCATTAGTAACGTATCATATGCTGCGTGTTCTATCCCTTCTCACAATCATAAATGCATGATGGTAGTCGTTGTATCCTTCCTTATCAGAAAATCGGTGACTCGCCCTAAACAGAGGGGTGGGTTTTGCATGCACTAGCATGGACGAGATCGGAACAATCTTTTTTAATTGCAGGTTGAGTTTGGGAAGGCACTGGGCAATGGCTTAAGCATAGAGTCCCTGAGAAAAGCAGGAAATGAAGCGATCTATATTGGGATAGGTAATTAAGCTCGACGTGTCTGCGGGTACATAGATGTCCTTACACATTGCTCGCTCTCAAACAAAATAATACAGGAATAACAGTTGTGCTGGGTTTACACTATCGAAAAGTTCACGTATTTTTTTAATGCTTTTAATTACTTTTATTACTTTTTTTAATTACTTTTTTATTTTAAAAAGTATTAATTTATACTTTTCAATGTTCTATCAATCTTTCTATCAGAGGTTCTACGTTTGTTTCTATGTTTACACTCCGGACTTTCGTTCGATTAGTTGAAAAGTTGATATAGTGTAATTGTAAACCCAGCTTTAATCAGTGCTAACGAGCGGTTCGTTTACGTACACGACCGTATCTGATCACCGACGGCGCGCCGCGTTTCACGCAGGTCTACCTGAGTCGAAGACCATTCCACTGTTTGACGGACTCACGGAGGAACGAGGATTCTGGACGTCTAAGAGCTTTCTACCCAGGGTTGCGGCAGCGAGCAAGCCAGGTATCATGGCATCTCCCTGGTCGCATCAAATCCTCGCTGGTCGCATCCTTATTTAGGCGGCTCTAATAGGAAATCTAGGGAACTTAGGAACTAAGTTAACTATATAGGGAACTAGGAAAAATAGGAGGACTTTACATTTCAAGTACAAGCGGCGTTGGAGTCTACTGAAGTTTTGTGTTGGTATTCGGCGCATGAGGTGCCCACGTGTTTCAGCGATCCTTGGCTAGCTGCCTGGAAACATATATAAGTAAGAGAGAGGGGAACTGTCAAATATAAGCTACTTTTCAGCTTTACAGCATTAAAAGTAGTGCCTAATGAAGGGTACAGTTATATGAATTTAGTAGTTTATCACTTGGAGCCCCCTGGATCAGTCTAGATGAAACTAGTAGTTTATCGCTTTAGCGAAACGCATTTATAATTTTAATGACGTCGAATAATAAACCAGGTCAATCTCAGTGAGCATATAGTGGCACTGCATGTACCCCTTGAAGCGGCTCTAGCTCTCGTAGTAGACCGGTATCCATCCCCAGACATGTCTCCTGCAGTCATGTGCGCGCGCAAGTGCCGGCTGCCTCATAACTAGTATAGTTTATCGCTTTGTTGAATATTTGACAACTTGACTGTATACTATATACTGACCTCGAATAATAAACCGGTTGAATGTAAATGGGGTAATATAGTGAGACTCTGAGCTACTTGGAGCGCTCTAGACAAAACTAGTAGTTTATCACTAACTTTGCCGATATCGAATAATAAACCGGTTAAATCTAAACAGGTAAAATGTTTAATTGTTTCCAATTTAATTATAAAATCTGAATTTTTGAGGGGCTCAGAACCACTACCCCGTGAAATTGAATCTGAAATGTTTAATTGCTTCTAATTTAATTGTAAAATCTGAATGTGGTAGTGGTTCCGAGCCACTCAGAATTGGAATTGAATCTGAAATGTTTAATTGCTTCTAATTTAATTGTAAAATCTGAATGGGGTAGTGGTTCTGAGCCACTTTGAGCGGTCCCAGCCTTCGTGTAAATTGACTATGTCGCGAATTTTCTATGGTGTATATTTGTAAAAAATGTTGTTGCAATTTTTTTACATGAAAAGTGAGTACTTACGGGACTAAATGTATCCTCGAATTCTTACCCTGATAAGATTGTTTCTCACCTAGTTAAAAATCCAAAAACCCTGGACGATTTGATATATTTATTATGACATTACATGCTTGCTTTGGGCTATGTATGAGTCACGAGTGTTTTATTCACATTGAACGGAATAGCAAAATAGGAAGTATAATGCAGCAATTTAACCATAAAAAGTGAACAGAATCACTTACATTTTGTGAAAAAGTGGACATAGTTTTTTTTTACTTTTACTATTTACGGTGACGTAATCACTTTAACATGTATCGATCGCCTCACACGTGTCATCCGCAGGCATGTGCGCGTGCAAGTCGCGTCTGCCGGACATGTGTGGGGGCGTCGTGATCGTGCTGGGGGCCGGCGACACAGCGTTCGACTGCGCGACCTCCGCGCTGCGATGCGGCGCCCGCCGCGTGTACGTCGTGTTCCGCCGCGGATTCACCAACATACGCGCTGTGCCCGAGGAGGTAGGTGGCGCTGCGATCTACGTCGTATTCCAAAGAGAATTACTATCGTATTCCAAAGAGAATTACTATCGTATTCCAAAGAGAATTACGAGAAGTATATACATTTTCTGCCCGTTTATACACCCCTTATTTTTTACATGTAATGCGTCCAGAGTGTCACGTACGTTGCTAACGGTGTGCTGTTTTATCCAGATGGAGTTGGCAAGAGAGGAGATGTGTGAGTTCCTACCATTCATGTGCCCAAACAAGGTAAAACAGTTATTATATTTTAAAGGCATTTGTTTATTGCTATGTTTTTGTTTTTCCCTTTTTGTCATGTGTGTTTTTCCTTGTCCGTATTTTTCCTGTCCTCTACATTCGTACATTTCGTTGTGAATCCATTTATTTACCACTTCAATAACCGTCGCCGCTGACAGGGTAAATAAATGCATTCGTCGTAAAACACATTTGCCGTCATCATTAGATCGCGGCTGGTCTTTACGTGCGAGTGTCTGCGTCGGCGGAACATTCCGCGTTCTGTACAAGCAATTCAATTTACTTTTATTTACACTTATGAATTGCATTTTGGAGGTAACGTATTAGTAAATAGACAGTGCTAATAAAATTAAAGCAAATGAATTTAAATAAGAATAAATAAATAAAAGAAAGAGAAGATATAAGAAGAAATAAATAGAAGTGATGGAAGGCGAAATGAAAGACAAACATGGCCGCGGGTTCTTCTCAGGTGAACGTGCAGCTTGCCGTGAACATGCCGCGCGCCACGAACATGCCGCGTGCCGCGAGCATGTCGCGTGCCGTGAACATGCCGCGTGCCGCAAACATGCTGCGTGCCGTGAACATGCCGCGTGCCGCGAACATGCTGCGTGTCGCGAACATGTCGCGTGCCGCGAACATGCCGCGTGCCGCGAACATGCCGCGTGCCGCGAACATGCCGCGTGCCGCGAACATGTCGCGTGCCGCGAACATGTCGCGTGCCGCGAACATGCCGCGTGCCGCGAACATGCCGCGTGCCGCGAACATGCCGCGTGCCGTGAACATGTCGCGTGCCGTGAACATGCCGCGTGATGTGAACATGCCGCGCGCCGCGAACATGTCGCGTGCCGTGAACATGCCGCGTGATGTGAACATGCCGTGTGCCGTGAACATGCCGCGTGTCGTGAACATCCGTGTGCCGTGAACATGCTGTGTGTTCTTCTCAGGTGCTGAAGAATGGAGAGAAGATCAGTGGCATGGAGTTCCTGAGGAACGAGCAGGCAGACGACGGCAGCTGGTCGCCCGACCCTGAGCAGTCGATCCGTCTCAAGGCCAACTACATCATCTCTGCTTTCGGCTCCGGTCTCTCCGACGACAACGGTAAGAGAATCTTCCTGGCATCTCGCCCGACCTCACGCATACTGTAAAATCCTTTTTTTTGTGGCGTTCTAATTTTCGTGGATTTCGTGGGTCCATCAATCCACGAATTTATGTTCCCAATGAAATATTATGTACGTATGTCAATTGCCGGTTCCGGAGTGGAGGCCACGAATTTAAGAACATGTATTTTTTATTGAAACCACGAAAATTGGAACCCACGAAAATAAGTCACTTTACAGTATATAACGGTTGTGGCGTCTCGCTCCACGCACACATTTGCGATAGAGATTTCTCTTTCTAAATTCTCTTTTCTAGAGATTTCTCCTACGAAATCACGCCTCTTTCCTGCGAAATCACGCATCTTTCATACAAAATCACGCGATCGTCTTTTCTCGGCAGTGAAACGGGCGATGAGTCCGCTGAAGTTTGATCGCTGGGGACTGCCGGCCGTGGAGCAGACGACGATGCAGACGAGCGAGGCGGACGTGTACTGCGGCGGCGACATCGCAGGCGTCGCCCAGACAACCGTCGAGTCGGTCAACGACGGCAAGACGGCTGCGTGGAACATGCACAAGTATCTGCAGGTACGTGCCGGTGGGTGACAAGTACCTGCAGGTAAGTGCCGGTGGGTGACAAGCACCTGTAGGTACGTGCGGGTGGGTGACAAGTACCTGGAGGTATGTGCCGTTGGGTGACAAGTACCTGGAGGTATGTGCCGGTGGGTGACAAGTACCTGCAGGTACGTGCGGGTGGGTGACAAGTACCTGCAGGTACATGCGGGGGTGGGTGGATGTCGGCTATATATATATATATATGTCTATGTCTATATCTATTTCTATACAGAGACTCCCCGACTTACAAACATTCGAGTTACGAACTTTCGATGACACGAACAATTTGCCCTGAAGTCGAAAAAAATGTATGCGTAAGGTTTAGTTCGCAGATCCGCTGCGTGATGGCAGCAATGTAGCGCGGGAAGCGTCGAGATGTAAACAATAGCATGTTACTCTAGTGGCATCGATCACACGTGTGCACGTGCTCCACATATACTACACTACTGTACAATACTGTATACGTCTGTACATATGTTCTACTTACGAAGAAATCGACTTACGAACGACCGCTCGGAACTGAACCTGTTCATAAGTCGGGGAGTCTCTGTATCTATATCTGTATCTATATCTTCGTCTCCCTCACAGTCGCTGCACGGCCTGCCTGTGTATCTAATAGCGCGTCTATTTTTATATCTATATCTATGTCTATGTCTATATCTATATCTATATCACAGTCGCTGCACGGCCTGCCCGTGCCGGGAGAACCCAGCCTGCCGAACATGTACACACCGATCGACCGGGTCGATCTAAGCGTCGAGATGTGCGGACTGAGGTTTGAGAACCCGTTTGGCCTCGCCAGCGCGCCCCCGACGACGGCTGCGACGATGATCCGCCGGGGATTCGAGCTCGGCTGGGGATTCGCCGTCACAAAGACGTTCGCGCTCGATAAGGTGAGGTCACCGCGAGGTCGCGAGGTCACCCCGGCCGTCGCGAGGTCACCCCCGCCGGCGCGCGGTCACCGCGGCGTCTGTGGTTGGCCATCAGTCAAAATAATTATTTCTATTGTGGGTTTTAATTATTTTTACCGCGGTAAAATTATAGCCCTTTTACTCGATCTGAGGCCTTGTTACACATTATTTAACCGTGGATAAATTATTTTAATCACGGTAGTAATAATTTAATCATGATAAAATTATAGCTAGCCATTTTACCCAATCGGAGTAACCTATAGTCCCGTGTCTACATCTGTCACTGGTTGCAGGACATCGTGACGAACGTGTCATTGTAGCGCGCAGCATGCGTCAGCAGCAGCAGTCACCGTCCCGTGTCTACATCTGTCGCTCGTTGCAGGACATCGTAACGAACGTGTCATTGTAGCGCGCAGCACGCGTTAGCAGCAGCAGTCACCGTCCCGTGTCTACATCTGTCGCTCGTTGCAGGACATCGTAACGAACGTGTCATTGTAGCGCGCAGCACGCGTTAGCAGCAGCAGTCACCGTCCCGTGTCTACATCTGTCACTCGTTGCAGGACATTGTAACGAACGTGTCATTGTAGCGCGCAGCACGCGTTAGCAGCAGTCACCGTCCCGTGTCTACATCTGTCACTCGTTGCAGGACATTGTAACGAACGTGTCATTGTAGCGCGCAGCATGCG